CAAAGATTCTGACAGTGAGTGTCACATCATCAGAGGCTAGTCTGTTTGGGTTGAAGATCAGTTGGTCGTTCTGTACTTGTGAACAGCTTTGTCCAAGACACTGTCTGGTGTTGACGAAAGACACAAATCTGTATGTAAAATACTAATTGACAAGTTACTGTTAGATGGCTGGTCCAAACATAGTATACCATAGTCGGGGTTTGTACCCATGTACAGTCTGACACTGAGCTTACCACCCTTTTTACTGCATTCTACCCACCACCCCCACCTCTTTTAGTGCCGCCAGGCCTGTGTCTGTTGCTGCCTCTCTAATAAGAAACATTCGCACCCAGCACCATATAACCCACTAACATATCGCTACCTCTGATCTAAGACCAGTAAACACAGTCAATGAGGCAAGCCTCAACCACTTTACAGCTGCTATATGGTCACATAGCCCTAAGTTGTCATAACCCCTCATGTAAAAAAACAGAAAGTAAAAAAGGAGTACAGGGGAAAACAGCACTCTAGGGACTCTTTAAATATGTAGAATGCAAATATATCATGCATTGATCTAATAATGCGGAAATATCAAACAGATGTTGTACGATGTAAACAGAAATCTAGAAGTTATGTGTGTATTTGGTTAGGATGCTCAGATTCCCATTTGTCGGAGCTCTTCTTCATTCGCTGTTGTGGTTGCTTGACTATATAAGCAGTTCCTTTTTAGGTTTTCATGAAAACTTTAATGCAAGTTAAATGCATGTTTAATGCAAACAACCACACTCACCATCTTTCATCCCAATGCCAAAATAGCAAATTAAATTAAGTTCACCATTTTCCATCAATGAGCAGTTACAATATGAAAAATGAACTTTTTGGTTGTAACTGAGCAGAAAGTTTTTCTTTATATATTACAGAATCTTCCTGCTGCTTCTGTCTTCTGCTACATCATCTATAAACACTGGTGACCTGATGCCACTGGAAGCTATTGACGCTCATGCCATCGCACTGGCTCCACTATGTTTTACAGATGATGTTGTATTCTTCAATGATGAGCTTTTACAGATCTTCTGTATATGTTTTCTTCTTCCCATCATTCTGGTACATTTTGAATTTAGGGTAAAGATGGAGAATGTTTTTCACCTGGCTGGACGGAGACAAAAGTCCTGCTAGTACAGGGGTGGGCAACTCCAGGCCTCGAGGGCCGGTGTCCTGCAGGTTTTAGATGTGTCCTTGATCCAAATGGCTAAATAACCTCCTTAACATGTCTTGTAGTTCTCCAGAGGCCTGGTAATGAACTAATGATTTGATTCAGGTGTGCTGACCTAGGGTGATATCTAAAACCTACAGGACACCGGCCCTTGAGGCCTGGACTTGCCCACCGCTGTGCTAGTATCGACCGCTCCTGGGAGCTTTTTGGTCAATTTTATCAAGAACATCTTATAATGGGATCACTATAAGTGCAACGTTTGTGAACATTCAGACTACACCCATTATGAAAATATTATTTTTAAACTCCATATGTATCATATATCATATCAAATCATACGGAGAGTTATGAGCACATTAAAATTTAACAGAAGCGTAAATGCCCTGTCTAATCAATGAGTCAGGGCAGAGCTATGGATGTAGCTGCACTGTCTTCCACATGTAGATTTTGCTTTGCATCTGGGCATCCTTCTTATTCTTAATCATATAAACTACAACACCTGTAGGTGTATGCTGTCCACTTCAGCGCTGGAGGAATTGCAGACCGGGTACATATGTGGCCTAAGGTATCCACTGTAATGAAAAAGTACAGTAGCGAATTGAGAAAGAGTATTTTTCTCTATGTCAGACTGCACCTAACTTTGATTTTGACTTTCAGTTTGATTAAAACTAAATGAATTTAAAGTTTCTAGACTGTAATTATCATGACTGTGTCATTAACATGTTGGTAAAATGCAGTGCTTAACAAATTTGTCATGAATAACAAGAAAACACAAATAATTTAGAAATCTGTCAAAAACCTTTTTACAAATACAGTTATTTATTAGTCAAATAAACTAAATTCACAGTTTTGTATCCAAATTTGAGCTGTTACAGTGAGAAGTCAGAAATTAATCAAGCATGACATCCAGCCAAAGTATTTTTTCTGATCAGGAAATGAACTGTAGTTTGGCCACTTAATCAAAAAATAATAATATGCTTTATCATTTTTTGTCTTTTTTTTGTAAAACAGTAAATTGATTGGATATCTACTGTAATTATACTTTAGCATTTAAAATATTTTGATTAAAGGGTTACACACATTATAAAAACATAAACACGAACATTTGTTAGTTACCAATATTGTTAATTTAGGGCGGCTGTGTCATAAACCTTACTCTGGGTGGTGGTCTAATAAATTAGTTATGCGCTGTGTATCCTGTGAGAATCAGCTTTGTGGCAGTTGGTATGTGTCTCCAGAGCCACATTTTGGCATTACAAAGCCAGCCACTCAAGTGTTGCAATGCAAAATGACCTCAAATTTGATTTTACTGTGCAAGGTGCTATTTCTGCATGCTGAGTGTCAGTACATGCCACATATAAATATAAGAACTTTTCACATTCATGGCATTTCACACAGTCTTTTTCAGCGTGTATATTGCTCATGTTCGCATCATGATGACGATGAAAAAGTGATTTATTGATTGGTACTTAGTATAGCGTTGTAACAGTTCCCCTGGAGCAGTGTGCACAGAATAGACTCATTTCATTTTGAGACTCGCCTGGATTCTTGGACCCGCAGTCTTTCTTTCTAGTTTCAGTGCTGCTGTTTTTCATCTCTTTCTCACCAGTTTTTGGTCCTTTAGATTTAAGTTCCTAAAACGTATTGTGAGCTGTACCCATTTTAACGGGTCTACAATTTGCATGGGGTTGGCCGTAGTTCTCCCTTCAAACTTTGTCCCCAAGCCTTTTGTAAACACGCTCAATGCCTGGAAGCACTAAAATGCTGGAAGCATTTTAAATTGGTTTTAACTGCCTGCTACAACTGCAACATCTCAGTGTAGATTAGGCCTTATTGGGACTGGAGGGCATGTGGAAGCGTAGTTGACAGGATTAAGTGGCTATTGAAGTCACTTTAGCTCCTTTAGAGAGCGAGAAACATGAAAAGAGAATAACTCAGCCCCTCTTTACAGAAGGGATATCCCCTCACTTGCTTTCTTTCTTTCTTTTGCCCCCCTCAGGCAAAGAAAGACACCAATCTACCAATAGGATCCTCAGACTTCTGATACCCAGAAACAGTACAGCAATGTTAAAAGGTGTTTTCAGGATCCTTTCCATAGTTGAGGGAGCTGATGGATGTAGTACCCTATTATTTCTGTGTCTGCAGCAGATTCTAGGTCCTAAAACTCTGTTTTAAAGTCTTTTTTGTAGCTCCTGTTGTCAGTGTCTCAGGCATGCTATAAGAGGAATTTTTAGTGACATAGGCTTTCGTGATGGGTACAGATATAAATACAGCATTGGCAACTACAATTAAAAACAGCGTAAACAACTTCTTTCTCAACAGAGAAATGAACTGACAGTGACCCCCAGGCTTTGAGCCTGTGTGCACACAATTACTTTTGGGTTTTCATTCACACAGAATCGATTTATTTGAATATCACATTATCTCCACAAGAAGGCAAACCATATTAATGAGAGACATAAATATTTATATATACAGAATGGACATCCGGTGCCCTGAGAGAACTCTGCTGTAAGAAAACATGAAACAACAATTTTTTTTCATTAATGCAAAATGGGCAATACTCAGGAAGTGCTCAAATCCTCATGGATCTGTGCTTCATGGAGTTTTCCCCCAAGCTTCTCATAAGGTTTAATAAATATCTATTCAGTCAGCACAGATCAGGTTCCACAGTTTCGACCATATACCGTCAGTCTTTCTGGAGCTCAGCTGGGTTTTGAACTCTCTGCTGTCATTACAACACGATTGTTGTTAAAATGTTCCAGACCTGAAGTGACCCCACCTTCTTTGAGCAAAGGATCAGCAGGTATCGGGGAATTTCCTTTTCTGTTTTTTAAAATATTTTTTTAGGCTTGATACCAAATGTTAGCTGACTATAATATCTATAATTGACTTGCTACTACCATTGACCATTATTTAGCCAGATAACACAGGCTGAAAAGGATTCTAGACCTGGAAAAAGCTTTAGAAAAAGGAAAGAAGAACCACACACTCCATTAACATCTACAGTGCTGTATTTTTTTCTTGAATACTTTGGTTTACTTTGTGTGTGGGTGAATGCTGTGTATAATATATAATTTACCTGAAGGCCGTGATGAATAAAAGGGCTCATATTCCATATATTACAATGCAATTTGTGACTTCGTAACATGGCATACTTGCAATTTAATTTTAAATTGCATTATCTTTATGTATACTTAGTCATTTGGGAATTATGTGACTAAAAGAACACATTATTATGTAAAATTGATTTTTACCTTCAGAGCTCATGGTAGGAATAAAGATCCACACTTTTAAGACAAGTTTTTCTGTGACTCAGCACTAAACAACAGTGACTCTGATACTCATTCACTTTCTGCCGTGCCTAGATATTCAGCAGCGTGGCAATAATTAGCATATGAGTGGCTCAGTGTTTGGGTGAGTTTGTTCTCACAAAGACTGCCAAAGCACAGGTCGGCGTCTCTCATTCACTTCAATGAAAAGCTGAAGGGCAAACAGAACTCCCAAAATGAAATGCATCCAGACTTTCACTCAAGTCTGAGTGAGTCCTCCTCACTGGATCTCCATGAGTGTTATAAACACTGTACATATATTATGAATGCAGCAACGGCCTTTAATTATTCATGGCCCTTAGCTACTTATTGATACTGTGTGTGCTCATGAGTAATATATGCACCAGAGACATGAATTAGTGCATTCATAGTACACCTGCCTGCCATTTCTGTGTATGTACTCTGTGCACCAAAACATGTATGTTTATGTCCTTACATCATCATGTCCTTATGTATGTGTATGTTGTTGTTGACAGAAAGGGCGGTTGGCTCCGGGCTGCAGTCTGGCAGTTGTATGCTGAAGCATGGCGTCATCACTATCACTCTGCAGGTTCCTCTCTGCACTACATACCCCGCAGGGCAGTTCTCTACTGCCCTGGCAATGATGAGCGAAAATTGAAGAAACTAGCCTCGCTGGATGTCGACTGTGCTGTGCTGGACTGTGAAGATGGAGTAGCCCTCAGCAAAAAGGTACATAAGTACTAAGATGCATGCTTGTAAATGAAATTCAGCTTGGTATTAATAGGATAGCGGGGAAGCCACAAACACTCCCATAGCTGTGTGATCTTGGATATATTTTAATTCCCATATCTCTCTATCAGACAGGTGCTTGGTCTTAATCACTCAAAGGAAAACTACCTAAGTGAGATGTTTATAACAAGCACATTTCACCCCATTATGATAGTATAAAGACAGCGCTCCCCCCCTCAACCGCATTAGAGTCATTTAAAACAAGGTGACCATGTCCCACTGGGATAGCAGTGGGAAAGCACCAGATGCAGCAGGTTAAAAGCATTCTCCTCCTGCCCACGCTACCTCCTCATTGGCCCTGCTGGACTGCCCATGAAATTCTGATTGGAGAGTGGGATAAAGAAGGGGCCCGGGCAAAAAGTTAACTAACAAAGGTTTTTAAGTCATGATAATAAAGATGATTGATATGGCTGGAGGCTGTTCCTGTAGTAGACAAAGACAATAAGATGATGGCCTGTGTGACTGACAGCTAAAACTGTGACCCTGCGATGGTGTTGGTGGGATGTAAGAGCTTCTGTCTTTATTGTGTGATAAAGGGGAATGTGGAGAGGAATGCAGCACTGAAGGAGCCATTCAGGCTTCAGATGCTGGACTGTTGCACTGTCAGCAGGTCCATGTCCCCATTTTCCTTGTGTTTAAGCAGAAGTGTTTTGCTCCAGCATATTCTTTACACAAACATATTCATTTCACCTGAAACATGAACATTTTGGGGGGCTGAATTTGTAGGCAACAATTGCAAATTCAGAATTTTGTTTTTCTCATTTTCAAAAGGTCTCCTCTGTGTTAGCTACTGCTGGGTTGTGCCTATAGCCCCAGTATGTGCTTTTACAAATAAAGTGAAAATGTACATAGCTACAGGATATACCCATTTATTCAAACTGCAGAGTAATGTCCCTCAGCAGGCATACCACTCTACCTTCCACTACTACTTCTCTGAGTAATTCACATAAAAATACCAATACATTAAATTCTGGAAAATAGTATTGTCCACCAGTAGTTTCCTACCTAATAATCCCATTACTTTCTCCTGTCTGCACTACACTGCAAAGCAGAACATAGCGTCAGAACAGATTTGAGCTTTTGACACTTTTTGACATGTTGGCTTTCGGCACAGTGTGCAAAAAGTCTTGTAGCCTATTATGTGTTTGCTAGGTCGTGCTGTGTAATATAAAAATTAGTAATATACTCAATAACAAAATGCACCTTCCCTACTGGCACCCTTTCTTCACTTTCCACACTCTTGCTGTCTTTCTCCACTGTGGCAATTGGAAATCCATGGGGGATGTTGTGTAGTTCTACCTTCCCTTAAGATGATATTTTTTCCTTTTGGATGAACAGTACTTTGTGTGAATGTGTGTCTGTGTGTGTGGGTTTCTGGGAATACCACAAACATTTGTTTTGGATTTATAAATTTCTATGTGGAAATGAGTTGACTGAAATAATTGTTTTACTTTTCATTGTGTGTTTAAAAAAAATCTTTTTCAAATTATTTTTATTACATAGCCTGGGGGGATATTTATCAGGATTTTTTTTGACCCCTTTAAACCATCAAAGCCAGACTGACAAAATCTTGTCTCTTAAGTCTGGCATTATTTTCAGCAGTTCTTGTGGAGAGAAGCAAAACACGTGAGGAAACAGGTGCTGATATAAATTTTTACATTTATTGTTTTTGAGAAATTAAACAACTAGTTAAAGGAGGTGAAACATCTTGTCAAAAGGTGTTACATGCTTCAGAGGTGATGCATTTCTAATGATGCACTTCTAATTGATGCCTGCTGCCTACAGAGGCTGTGTAATGGCTCATATTTGATGCTTTATGGTTATATCTACACCCAAAGCATACTTTTATGCTTTTATGATTATTTTATTCAGTTATGCACGCATAAATCCAATAATTGTTTATTAGGCTCTCGGTGCTGCTAAAACACAGACAAATTACCTGACAGCTCTGTACATAAACACACCTGGAGTCAGTGAAAGAGAACTGATGCTGCTCTTTTGACGGACGTTGTGCGGACCCTGTGTAATGTGCGCACACAGGTTGGTTGAGAGACTATTTACAGTTTATTGACATGAAAACCCAACACACCACTAAAAATATTATTAAATTTCTTCAAAGGAACTTTTCGTTTAGTGCCAAAAAAACGTTGCCTGTTACTTTTTTCTTCCACGTCTTCCTGTTTTTATGTGCTTTTTCTTGCGGCTTGTGGCTCACAGTAAGTTTAGTCAAGTACCTACATTAAAACTTTTGCCAATTTTTGATGCATTTTGGCTCCTGCTTAGTTTTAGGTTTGGATGTGTTAGTTGGAAGTTGCTGTGCCAAAAGCATCTGCAGAGTAAATGTAGCTTTATGCAAATCAGATGCAGATGCTGCTGGACACGCATGCATCTTACATCCCAAGTAAATACCAAGCTCAGTTGAATAATGCACTGACACAGTTGTGTGTACCTAGTGAATGGTAATTTGCAGGAAGCGTTGGAAGCATACCCCGTAATTGCTTGTCAAAAATGTTACCCTTACCCTGTCTTTTATTAACTCAATTTGAGCTGTGCGTTGGGACCAACTGATCTATAAATGGATGAGAGTTAGCTATTACAATGTGGGTGTGTGTCTGCTGACAATTTCAACACTGTATAGCCTAGAAACGATTATCTTCACCATGACAACTGCACAGTCTGCACTGTGGGTTTGCCAAGGCATGCCAGGCTTCAACAATGTCCTAAAGTCTCATAATGCATATCTAATGGGAGCAAAGCAATGACCCAGCTTGCTAAATGCCATTCTGAACCACTGTTTTGGTGAATATAACAATGGCGAGATGGCAAAATGTTGAGTGCAGTTACTGAGTATGCATGAGTAGGCCTTAAATGGGGCTACTGCCCACCACCACACTCCTATTATCTGTTCATTAATGTATTCTTTTCATTATCTTTCACCTTCACCCTAAAACAGGAAAGGATGTTCATGACAAAAAGGTACGTGGTGAAGGTCACTCTGGCCCCCTCCCCTTTTTAAATTGAAATCCAGGAATGCTGGCTTTAATTGCCTGCCACTTTGACTCTAAAAATGTCTGCACTCCATCTTGGCAGTAATGCTGGCAGCTTAAGAGGTAGGGAGAAAAGAAAGGGAGTAAAGGGTAGGAGCCACCCAGAGCTTGCTAACTGTCGCCACGGACCCAGAGGGGAAAGAAGGAGGAGGTGAGAGGGGAGGGAAGACAAGGCTGACTGCTCTAACACTCTTACACATATCATCATATCTGTATGATCAGTGGGGTGGAGGAAAAGGGAGGGCAGGTTGAAACCCCAGAGCGGAACTGACGGCTACACCTGTCCTCTCTCCTCCTCACTCCCTCGCCGTCTTGTTCTTTACCGTCCCCCTCTCTCGCTCGTCTCCCCTCTCTAGGGTCCGCAGGGTTAAGATTGTTTATGTCTCTCTCCCCCCATGTTCTGTCTCCGTCTCTTGGTGCCCTTTGGTCCAGTATTCCTCCTGGTGTTTCTCTTTCTGCCTCTCTTTTCCCCACATGGGTCCCTCCATCCTCCATGACTCCCCCCTGCCTCCCTGCCGCAGAGATTCTCTCCTAATCCCTGGAAGTTTGGAACTAATGAACTAACTGCTGAGCCGCTGCCACGGAGCTTGGTCCCAAACTATACTGTACTTCACACTCGATTTCCTCTCCAGATGGCATAGTGGCGCGGCCGGCACAACGGGGAGCACCTCTCACACACCCGCACGCGCCTGTAAATGCACACAAGACCAGCAGAATACAAACATGCACACATGCATGAGTGTGTACGTGTAGTCACATACGGACATTCGCACACAAGTACACACAGATAAACACATACACAGATTGTTACAGTTGGTATCCCACTGTACATCAGTGTCCTGCATTCATTTCAGTATGTTACTGAACCAGGAACAGTTGTTAGGGCTTGAAAGGAGGTAATTCACTTTAAAGTATAGGTAGTATATACAACTAAATAGAAAGTCGGTGAATAAACACAGTAATCAGAGCCCAAAGTAGTGTTTAAAGTGCTAATATGGACAGAAATTGGTCAGTAGTAGACTGTAAGATTAAATGAACAGAAGGTTGTGATTACAGCCATACACTGTACCTTTGGTTTTGCATTATTAAATCTCATTTATATATAATACTCTTACAGAAGATGCAAAAAGTCTTCAGGCCTCCATAGAATAAAATGCAAGGCAAACTAAAGCATTAACACATGAACAGAATATTGAATGGGACATATTTACGACAAAAATAAACAAAAGTCTTGTTTGTTGGAGGGCAGTTGTATATAGGTGGATAATAATACACAGTTGTTATGCGCCCCCTGTAGTCTAAGAAAATATTCTAAATACTAAGATTTTTCGACCAAATTGATTACTCATTTTGAGAATGTGAAATATGGTCAAATTATATTTACAGCACTTTACAATGACTTTACTTTGTGCTCTACTTAGTGACTTAAGAAGTGATGGTTAAGTGTACATGACAGCATGTAATTCGTAATGCATAGTGTTAAGCCAGACATTTCTCTTTCTTTGTCTTTTCTCTGTAATTCTGTTTTTACAGTAACACTAATATCCACTGGTCTTGGTACTTTCAGTTGAATGACACATTGTGGAGTGGATGTCATCATTATAGTTGTATATTAACTTTATCTCATTGTCAGTCAATGCATGAGCTATGGTCTATGCATGAACTGTGTCTGACACCAGAGAATTGCAACTTAACATAAATTATGCAGCCAACTGTCAACTGATACGTGACCTCAGTTCACTGCTCACTGTGTTGTTTCAGAGGACACTCAAAGGCCCGCTCCCTGTTTAAGTGGATTCAAATGAATAAACTCTTGACAGAAAGTGCTCCTGGGGAATAATGGTAACCGGTAGAATTATGAATGCTAAACATTTCTATTTAGTGTGTATTATA